GATCCTACACTGGCACGTCAGCGGTCGCCGCAGCCATTGACTGCACCCTACCGCGCTGCCATGCATAGCGCGGCAGCGTGAATTAGCTGCACCGTGCAAACAGGCGCGTTCAAAAGTGTTAGTAAAAAATGAAATAGTGTCAGTTTTTAAAATAGCTTAAAAATGTTAAAAATAAAAAAATGCCAGATCTGCAGGGTCCTTTTCGTGCTCGGCATCTTGACAGCCATGCATGATGCGTACGTCAACGACAGGAGCAGGGGCGGGGCTTTTCATCTCCAACAGAAGCAAGGGCGCGCATCTTTGGAAGCAGTGCCACATTGCTTTCGCCACTGCTGGTGCTAGCGGCTGCTCTGCTCATCGCCGGGACGCCGGTGGTCCTTGTTGACGTGGCTTGCCGGAAAATGCCTCCAAACCGCGGCTATCAGTCACACACACGCTCGCTCGTCACTCCAGCGCCGTCCACTTGTCTATCCCAGCCCCCAGCGCTTTCCACCTCCACTCCACTATTCGTCGCTCTCCTCTCCGCATCTCTGTGCCAACATTTTTGCGTGCCCCAACGCAGGGTGGGAACAAAAGAAAACTAAATAATAAAGATTTAGAACAAGGGCGAGAGATTAATAACGATTTATGGCTAAGTAATCATGATCTAATGAAGAAATCAGGCTCAGGTGGGGCTATAGAAGCCCCCATTTCGATCTGCCCTGCCTCCAATACTCTCTCTAGTCTCAGTCTCTCTCTCATATGCGGACTTGTGGACTTGTTCAAATTCCTTTTTGTGTGTGTGTGAAGGACTTGTTCAAATTCAATGCCACCATAAGAGAGAGAACAAGTTAGAAAGAAGAACACTACGTGTTTCATGCCAAAAAAAAAGAGCTTTTTTGGGGTTCCAAGTTGCCAACATGTAAGTTCGCTTGCGAGAGGGGGAAAAGCTTTTCTTTTCTGTGCATGGGAAAAAAGAAAGAAAGTTGCTTTGTGACTTCCAAGTGGCGGACCTGGTCCTGTAGTAGCGACTAGCGAGTAGTGTGTGCATATATCAGTATATGTGTTGTTCACAGACAGCGGCTGAAAGGAGATGGAACGCAGCAAGTTGGCTGGCATACGTCATATTCGCTTGGTTTATAAATCGTATTTTTTCAATTAATAAATAGTATTTTTTTCTCACAAAAAATCAGCCAATAGTACTTTCAGCCATGACTTATCGCCCAAAAGTGAACAGGACAATATATGTGACCCATGAATGACCGGCGAATGTATATATGGCGAGAGGTAGATTATATTCTAGGAAAGGAATACTACGTGTAAAGAACATAGGAATTGGAACTGTTTTCTATACGATGGTTGTTGAACGACCAGAACTAATCTATGGTTGATATCCGGGTGTCCGGTGAAAGGTATGCACGTTTCATTTCAGAGTGAAACATGCCTACCTTTCGCTGTGCGCCTCTGAAATCTATATTATAACAAAAACTTAGGTTTACCATTGCCAACGACAAAGCAATAGGGAAGTCAATTTTTCAACCTTCAATTTGCACACTAGTCTGATTTCCAATCTTGAACCTTAAATTCAGATACCGGACGCCTCTAATTGTTAAAACCAGATGAGTTTGATCCTCTTGTTGTTTTCAAATGTGTTTTTTCTATTTTATAAAAATAATAAAAACTGATTTGATCTATAAAAATTCATGATTAATCTATTTTATATTAAAAAATACATGTCAAACTAGTGCCAATTATTTTCTAAAAATGTTGCCTATCTATGTTTTTATCTATGAATAGCTGTTTGGAACATATTTATCTATGTTTCTATTGCTTTATTGCGTTTAGTCGTGCTTATTATTTATTTAAATAAGATTCAAATGATTTTAAAAGAGTACCAATGGGCACATAACATTTTTGAAGAAAACTGGTACTAACTTCATATTTTTCAATTTAAAATAAACTATTTATGATTTTTTGGAGATTATAAAGAAGATTTTTATTATTTTTAGAAAAAATTAAAAAAACTTTTGAACCAGCCAGACAACTAACTCCAGTTTCGATATTTGGAGGGTGTTTGCTACCTGATTTCTGCCTTGCAAGTGAAAGATTGAAAAATGGACTTAACCGCAACCGATATGTTCCGCAATGATATGCATTGGGTTCGTTTCAACGACGCTTTACAAAACCTGACGAGCATGACAGAAGATCTACCTCTGAAAGCATATTTGGAGGGTGCTTTTAGAGATTAAAGCATATTTGTATTACTTTTTAGAAAAATAGAAAACTACCTCTGAAACAAACCAGATGACCAACTTTTTCCAGTTTGGAGGGTGTTTGCTACTTGATTTCATAATCGACGGTTAAAAGTCATACTACCATGCAAGTTTATGGTTGAAAAATAGACTTGACCCCAACCAGTATGTGCTGCAATGATGCACTGGGTTCATTTCAATGACACTTTACAAAACCTGACGAGCATGACAGAAGATCTAACACCAATTTATACCCGAAACAAGAATCTGACGAACTAATCAGTTGGGACCTATCCGAGTCAGCACTTGTTCATCTCCTCCATCAAAATTGTGTAAGAAAAGCTAAACGTTGCGATCCATTGACGACTGTGTACTAGTAGCTTTCACCTTCTGGTAAGCATTAGGTATACACTCCAAAGCGACACCTGCAACTGGGCAAGGCGCAAGCGCAATATATGAATATATACAAAAGGGGAATGATGCACATCGGACCAATTTGTTTGGAACAGGCGTGATGTGAGCTCTGAGGTAGCGACGCGAACCTGAATTTGTTTAAAAGAAAGGCAGGCAGGGCAGCGAGAGGTGTATCTGATAATGCAGGGGCGATTGGGAGCAGGAAGAGGCTGGCATCATCATTGGGATCTTGATTGCTTTTTTACATATACTCGGGTGATTGCCTGTCGCCAGGTCAGTGAAAGCTTCGCCTATAGCTACAGCGTCCATCACCTAGGACACTAGGAGCATTATAGTAGCACTAAACCGTGCTTTTGATGTATGACACTTGTTTATGCTAGTATAGTTCACTTGTGGACCTTCAACCTTGTGGTTGGGAAATCCACGGTTTATTTTTCTTGATGAAGGCATGGACCAGTTTGTGCGTGCATGGTTGAACAAGTCATCAGAAAAACTAAAAGGTGAGGATATTGTATGTTTGAGTGGCTTAGCTATGTAATAACCTTTAAGGCTCGTTCGTTTAGCCCTCGTTCCGTGTGGATTCATTCCAGATGATCAAAAATAGCATAAATTTCCACTGCATTCTAGGCTGGAATCATTCTAGTCATCCATTCCGTGAGAAACGAACAGGCCCTTAAGCTGTAAACTGGATTCTTGCTCCTCTCTTATATGATATAGCAGTGCTCCCGCTGATTATTCCAAAAAAAAATATATATTGTATTGTATGTTAAAAACGATATATACCATGAGGCAATACGATATGGTATGATATGATGATCCCACCAGTACAACTACAGATCTGCAGAGTGAGTTTCTTATATCCGTCAGTGCTTGTATACCGGCCAGGAAACAGGTGTGTATAGGCTGGCTATGGGCTATGGCTGTTGGCCATTGGCGGGAGACCCTTGCTGGAATTGCGCTCGAGCTTCACTGACTGCTGCTGCTGTGTTTGATCGTCGATTTCCTATTGGTCGTACCATCAACAGCAAAAAAGAAAGAAAAAATATAGAGCTTCACTGGCTGCTGTGTTTGATCGTCGATTTCTGATTGGTCATACCATCAACAGCAAAAAAGAAAAAATATTAAAAAAATCTGACCTGCCGGATTCGAACCAGCGACCTCGCAGCCTGTTCGTTTGGCTGTGGCTTGTCGTAAACGATCGTAAATTTCCAGCCGGAACAGTATTTTTTTCTCACACAAACCAGCCAGCAGTACTTCTTCACGAACCAGCAACGATAGGAACCAGCCAACCGAACAGGCTTGCTAAGGATTAATCTGCAACGACTACAGTCCTCCGCTCTACCAACTGAGCTAAGGTCGGTTTATCTCAGTGTGCCAAGTTGTTGCTTAATGTAGATTGAGTTCCAAGCCAATGGCATTCCATAAGTCAAGCCACGTTAGATCTAACCAAATTTATACATAGGCATACCAACATTTATATTAGTATAAGCAAACGTCTTCATATTTATCATGAATAGTCCTGGTGTGCCTATTTGGTGTCATAAAGGTTGATAGTCTTCTAACTTAAAATAGTTTCCTGATGGGACAGAGGCACTATGAACCTGATTGGTTGGTGTGGCCAAATTTGGGCAAGCCAACTTTTTTGTTTTCATTTGATTTGCTACTGAAATTGTCAAGCTCTCACATTTGGCTTGCTAAATTTCTGACAAATATTTTTTGTCTAACTTTTGAAAACTTTTGTTTCCTAAATTTTTAGTATGACAACTTTTGATAGCCAACCAGCAGGTCTTATGTCCTGCTTGTTTCAAAAGGGGGGAAATGTAACCTTTTTGGTGGCTTGGCGTCCTCTCCTGATGTCTCAAAAACCTGCATAAATAGCCGCATAGTCCATTCTCACGGCCTGGCGAAATAGTCACACGGCCCAACAACTCAATCAATCCATCAACCATTTTCTCCTATCCGTGCATGAGTTGAGGACAACCGATGCCCATTTATGTCTCCGGTCTCTGGTCACAAGTTGGGTAAAGTTGCATACACAACAGCAACGCGAATGAATGAAAATGTATGTTCGTATTTCAATTAGATCTACTAAAAGTTTCTCCGAACAACCACTACTCCACTAGTATACATGATTTATATCCGACGCCAAGACAGGAACTCGATGTTTCTATCCTCAGCATCTATGTGGTGTGCACTAAGATGGACAGGGCTTCACTTCCCTCACGTTCTTCTTCTGGCACTTCAGAGAACAAGCACGCCTGTTCAAATTCGAAGTGCCACTCAGCATGTTGGTTCTTGTTCTGAGTCAAGGAAAAAGCTTCAGCTCCAAACTATTGGATGCGCCATTTCGCAGGATCATTTCCCGATGCAGAATTTGCTGAATATGCTACTCAAAACTTCTTCAGAGATGTCCTCCCCGCTGATTGTTGCAAGAGCAAGCGCAGCTTCCCTCAAGTCCACAGTCCAAAAGTCCATTGGTAACTGCTCGTTGATTGATGACTCTAGACGTGCGAATGCTTCTTTAGTCCTCAACAGCTGTTCAAATTGCCTCTGCATAGTACAACATACGACGAGAAACCAGTTAGCAATCTTTCAGATGCAACATTCATTAGGGCAAACAATACTTAGAGCAGAGCATTGATAATATCTTTGAAGAGTTGAACACACAGAAGTTTACCTGGTTTACAGTCCACCTTCGTCCCTCAGAAGGTACATGCTCAATACCCCGGACCTCTATTACAGCGCTCTCCAGATCAGAAATGCCTTTACCGGTGACTGCACATGTTTGTACATGTTTTCTGAAGAGGCCACTGAATTGTTCAAACTGTTCTCCAGGAACAAATGGCGCACAATCTACCTTGTTGATTACAAGAACCATCGGAACTGCAGAACCTGAGGACTTCTAATCTCCAAACAAGCAAGCAAAAAAAATGTAATCAGTGCGTATATTTAACCAAGGGATAGACCAAAAGTTCTCAGATGCAAATTTTTTTTAATACTAGGAGTGAGCCAGGCAATATTCAATCAGGCAGTATTACAAGGAAAATTAACAGGAAAGCAAAACAAAATGTACCCTATTTATCAAAACATGCTCCATAAGTTTAGTGTCATCATCAGTCCATCCATCAACTGCACTTATTGCCATGACAATAAGATCAGCTCCCATGGCAGCAGCCTCGGATCTTTTCACGCCTGTGCAGAGATCAGAATTGTAGATAGGTGTCAAAATCAGCATTGTCTTCAAGGTTAGTCCCTATGAAATATTGAATGTATAATCTGAGACCAAAAGAAAAAACCTCACCAATTTTTTCCACAACATCATCAGTTTCTCTTATACCAGCAGTGTCCAAAAGAGTAACAGGTACACCATGAATTGAGACATTTGCTTCTACTACATCCCGTGTAGTTCCGGCTATTTCAGTAACAATAGCCCTTTCACTCTGCAAGCTAAACATATAAATTCTAATATCAACACACACAAAAAAAATCCATCTACAGGCAACATTATTTAAGCATATGGTATGTGGAATTATAGAGCTACAGATTTCCTAAAATAATCACTATGGCATGATTATGTATAATTGATTGTTCAGTACAAAATATGTTGAACACTAGCCTAATTCTCCACACAGATTGCACAGCCTTAAGGCATCCATGGCTGATTTGGTATAGTTTTTGTAAATTCACAGTAGAAACAGATTAAATAAGTTACAGCTCACGTTGCTGCTCAGATGAAGGTATAACAAAGAATAAAAAGGATCAGTGATCATAACAAAAAGCCGAAACAGGAAAGATGGTTCTACATGAAAGTTGGATATCTAACTATATACCTTACTCCAAGCATTAAGGAGGCTGGACTTGCCAACATTTGGGCGGCCAATTATTGCTATCTGCAAAATAGTTTAAATGTAACTATGTTATTTTTTAACAAAAGTATATATTTGAGTATTACTAATGTATAGCTTGAATAGAATACCTGTAGACCAGATTGTAACAATTTATCATAACTGGAAGTGTCCAAAGCATCCTGAACCTCCTGCCTCATACAATTAATTTTGCTGACAAGCATCACTGGGTCCAAAGGAGGCATCTCATCTTCAAAATCAAGACGAGCCTCGATTTCTGTTAGCAGCTCAATGCACCTCGATCTCAATGACTTTACTAGGGTAGAAAAGCCTCCCTACATTGAAACATGTCAAATTCAGACCTGTTTTGAAGCACTTAGCTCTTTCATGGAGCCTACAGTGTCTACAGGTTTCTCAAAGAAGCTGAAACAAATGAACTTCTTTCAGTATCAAAGGTGTTTAATATTTTTTCTCGAAAAATGCAGGAGAGCTGTGCATCATTATATTAAGAAGAAACAATGGGAAAGAACCCATACAACACACCCCAGGCCAGCCAACAGGCAAGCCCCAGGGTCACAAACTCTAACCACAACATATCTGGAATGCCTATTTATACCGTACCCATTTTTCTGAATGGCTTCATAATAAGAGAAAGCAATTGTGCCCACAATTTAAGCCTGTAAAATACCTGAATGCCAGCCAAAGCTGAGTCCGCCGCAGCTGCTGACTTTGCTGAAATAAGCCTAGACACATTCTCTGCTTGGGCCAAGTCCAACCTCCCATTCAGGAATGCACGAAGGGTGAACTCGCCTATGAAGAAGATGCAAATCTGGTGAGAATTCGTCAAGGGTAAACAACAGTGCAACACACGTCCTTCACTAGTCATTTGGTTCCAGCAGCTAAGAATCCGACTGATGGTACTCTCTCTCTTTGACTGACTGAAAGGCGAGGCACGACAACAATGTGAATTCTACCGGGTAAACAACAAGCAATTTACCAGGATCAGCAAGCCTGGCTCCAGCTTCCAAGCAAGCCCTGAGCACACGGCGCAAGCAGAGGTCGTTGCCATGGCACTGGAGCTCCACCACATCCTCCCGCGTGTACGACCTCGGGGCGAGCATTGGCACCACCAAAACCTTCAGAACCCGCAAGGTCAGTTCGCAGCTACGTATAGATAGAGAAGCAATGAAGCACAGCCGCGCCGCGTACCTCGTCAATAACGCTTCCGTCCGCGTTGAGCGCGAGTCCGTACTCCACGAAGTGGCTGCGCGGCTGCCACGGCGCCGACGCCCTCCGGGCCCCGGCCGGGCGGAAAACGCGGTCGGCGACGGCGACGGCGTCGGGGCCGGAGAGCCGCACGATCCCCACCGCTGCCGGGCCGCCGCCGAGTGAGGTGACGATGGCCGCGATGGTCCCGGGAGCGCCGCCAGCGCCTCCGCCGCCGTAGTCCAGCCGCAGCTGGTCTGGGAGGCGCGAGGGCGAGGGCGAGGGCGAGGGCGAGCGCTCGTCCCCAGGGAGGACGAGGGTGTCGGCGCGCGTGGCCAGGATTCTGGGGCTGCAAGGGTTTAGGAAGCCCCGGCGGAGGAGGCGAGGCGAGGGAGGGCGCCGCCATGGGAGGAAGATGGGGAGGAGGCGAGCGGCGGCGCGGGCCATCGGATTGAGATGAGCAAGCAGCGAGCCGTTTCGATTGGGGATGGGGATGAGCAGAAGAGCCGTACGGGCGGCCAGCCAGCTCCAGCTGCTGGTCACCACCACCGTCGGATCCCGAATCCACGGCTCATATCCGTACCTAGTAGCACTGTAGATGTTTTTCTTAAAATCTGATGCCACAATATTTTACTACTCAGGACAGCTGATCTCTCAACTTCCAATCTTCCATAGACAATGGTACATCGTCTCTGGTATAAGAGAAAAAAAAACACGGTTTGTTGGTCCAATCTTGCTTCTGTATTTTAAAAATTTAATACAAAAATAGAGAGAGAAAATTGGATATTTGGGACTCTAAAGATTGACTCTTTGATTATGTTGACACTCGGGTGGATGACAAATGGGTCTATCTGTGTCTATGAATGTGAGCCCAGTGTTAAACACTTTAGCAGGAGCTGTTTCGGAAATCGAGGAAAAAATGAACTGTAAAAGAGGTGGGAAGAGGAGGAGCCGGTGAACTCACATCATCTTATGGAATCATGATCAGACATATGTAGAAAAAAGAGACTTTTCCCTGTGTGCCATTATAAAAGATCGTAATCCTCTGTGTGCCCCTGGAAAAATTCAGCGGTCTTCAGCGCCACTACTCCAACTTTTTCGGGTCCTCTATGCCACTTCCGTCAGTTCAGGCTCTAACGCCGTCAAACTGCAAGTGTGAAAAGACGAAAATGCCCTTAAGTTCAAATATGTTATTAATTTTTTTTGAGCATCTTAACGACTTCAAATGAAAAAACTCAAAACTAGAAAGTTGTAGATCTCGTCGAGATCTATAATTTTCATATAAAAATTATTTTCATTTAATTCCGCAAAAAAAATATAATGATTTTTCTAAGATATATTAATCATATCAAATCATATTTTTTTTGCGGAATTAAATGAAAATAATTTTTATATGAAAATTATAGATCTCGACAAGATCTACAACTTTCTAGTTTTGAGTTTTTTCATTTGAAGTCGTTAAGATGCTCAAAAAAAATTAATAACATATTTGAACTTAAGGGCATTTTCGTCTTTTCACACCTGTAGTTTGACGGCGTTAGAGCCTGAACTGACGGAAGTGGCATGGAGGACCCGAAAAAGTTGAAGTAGTGGCGCTGAAGACCGCTGAATTTTTCCAGGGGCACAGAGAGGATTACGATTTTTTATAATGGCACACAGGGAAAAGTCTCTAGAAAAAAAGCTGAAACAACAATAGCACAGTATAAGTTACTGGCTCCGGTCCTGTTTACAAGATATTTTGCATATGTCAAGAGTTAAACTTTCTAATTTTTAACTAATAATTTGGCCAATAATTTAACTAGTATAATACAAACTTGATACTATTAGATTTATAGTCGAATGTACTACCCAATAATCATAAGTTTATAATCATAAAATATGAGTAGTCAAAGTGAAATTTGAAGACTATACCATGTAAAAAGGACCAGATGGAGTATTTGTGTAATTAGTATCTCTTCTTTCTTTTCAAAAATACAGGAAGGACTCAACACTCAAGGGAGTGTCTGCCTCGTGTCAAATTCAGTTTTGTTCTATGTTTCCTTTGGTTGTACATTGATCAAAGCTATACGTTGATGATTGATCCTATATCCTCTTGTCTGTAAAAAAATGTTCATTTGAAACACTATCGCTCACTAGCTTTTGCGTTAAACAACAGTGAGCACCGCCTTCAAAAACTATTCCTATCATTCGTAATCTTACATATATATACTCATTACATGAATACATCGTACATGACGCATATACTAGAGAACATATTCCGGACGTAAATCCGTTTCAGTTCAAGGCTCTTGCATAAACTTGGAAGTGCAGAAACGCACGGCGTCTGCAACCGTGAGGAAGATGTGATTGTTTCCGACGTGCTCGGTGAGTTTGGATGAGTGGAGCTTTTCAATCACGGCAGAGCCAGGGTTTGATAAGAGAAGCTGCCACATGCACAAACACAAACATATTAATTAAAATCAAAGGCACATTTGTGTTTGTTGTCAGGTTCTCAGGTTTTCTTGAGTAGCATTTTTTGAATCTTCCTCCAAATGTGATATTTTGTTCCTTTTTAAGTGCCATCTCAAGTACCACGATCCAATTTTAGTTTCAGTTTATGTACCTGAATGCCTCTCTTCTGAAGATTCTTGTACAGGTCTTCAAGGGCATGGATACCACTCGTATCAATATCTATAACAGCTGCAGGAAAAAAAATTGCATTGGCTTCCATCAGTAGAAACCACAGCTACGAACTCTCATGATATCTGATTAACAGAAGATTTCCACTTACGTGACATCTCTACTACCAAGAAATTGATTTTAGGCAGCCCCTCTGCGTTGACTTTGTCTTCTTCATCTGACAACCACCTAAGAATTCTGAAATGGAGCGCACAGCATGAGGATAATATATGAAGCTACACATGCATGCAACGCACGGTGGATGTATATATCTGTACCTCTCTCGGACATAGTTGGAGTTGGAGAAATAAATAGGAGAATCAACCCTCACTATTACCACCCCAGGAACATGCCTTGCATGTGGATACTGCTCGGTGTTCCTGTAAATTGTGGTGCCTTGAAGGTTTCCGAGCAGCGAAGTCCTTGGCCTTGTTACTTGAACAAGTATTTTGGCAAACGAGATTGACACCTGTGAATATCGAAAATGTCATGTAAGTTTCACCCATTCCTCTGTCCCACCCATTCGATAGCCAAACCAAGTATGGGTCCTTACAGCAATCAAGAGACCTATCTCAACAGATTTGAAAACCACACCGAAGAATGCTCCCATGCACGCGATGAAATCCATTTTGTCAACTTTCCAAATGAGAATTGCTGCTTCATAGTCCACAAGGCCGATCACGGCAGAAATTATGATTGAACCCAGGATCGCATTTGGGGTGTACTTGAACAGTGGTGTGATGACCAACAATGTAAGAAGCACAACCATTGACATAATCACATTAGATACCGGCGTTCGGCATCCCGCCATGAAATTGACCGCCGAACGAGAGAAAGAACCTGAAATAGTTGCAGCAAATGTGTTTCGGTTTTTTTTTGGAAGAATCACTGTAACTTCGTTCAGAAAAGTTTACCTGTTGCGATATAGCAAGATGTCATTGAGCCTACGATGTTCATCGTTCCAAGTGCTACCATCTCTTTGTTTCCATCTATCTGGTAGTCCTTCATGGCAGCAAACGTCCTTCCAATGGCCACGGCTTCCTGATAAGGTGTTAGCATAAAGGTTGATGTGCAGTCAACCGGAAAATGAACATGAAGGACAAGATGATCACAAGACAGATGGTTTGCATAGCATACATACTGTTAAACCGATCATGCCAGAAACAACACCGATCTTGAACCCTTTTGCGACAAATGGACCAGTGTAATAAATCTTGTGCACAGATGATGGGTTGATGCCCTTTTTGATTTTGTTTACCTGTTTTCATCAAGTGCCAAAAAATGATTCACTAGTTAAAACATGATGCATTTGAGCTGGGTCTTAGGGCCTGTATTGTTGTCTTGACAGCACTAAATTGAGTACTTACTATCTGAACACCTTGTTTGTCAGCACGAAAAAGGTATACAAAAAGGGTGGCAAGAATAACCGAAGTTATAGGAGCAATAGCTGGCACCCAGAAATACTTCTTATTCCTTTTTCCCTGTGTACATGAAAAACCATTATTAGGTTATACGGTTTCCCCAAAAAATAACTATTAAAGCAAAATTGTCTGGAAAAATAATAAGGATGCTCACAATGTACTTAGCAAACAGAAGAAGAGCAAGGAATGTGAAGCCAATAACAACTGTCTGCCAGTTCCACTGCATATATACAAAACCACGCCTTATCAGATAACCATATAGTAGTCAGTATGACAATAAATTATTTCCTCATAGAGTGTTAAGTTCAAGATAAGTACTCCATGATGAACGGAACCCCAAACAGACTCCATGACAGAAACTATATCAGTTTCCTTTGTGAAGTTCCTGATACCCAACACGTATTTGAGCTGCTGCAGAGCAATAGTGATGGCTGCTCCCCCCATGAATCCAACAATTGCAGCATGCGACAAGAAGTCAATGAGGAAACCTAGCCTGAAAAACACAGTAATTTTAAGATCGATGGACCTACATTTTTCTTGCTTAAAAAATACTGTACCGCCATACCTCAGAAATCCTAGGGCTGCTTGAGTGATCCCAGCAAAGAAGGTCGCCGTAAAAGCAAGACGCAAGTATTCCTCCTTATTCTTTTCATGATCAACCTCATTTTGTAGAAGTGAACCTAGTAGAAGAGATACCACTGCAACTGGCCCGATTGCTATATCCCTTGAGCTACCCATTGCAGCATATATCAATGGGGGGATGAAGCTGGAGTCTGAAACCGAATTACAAAGATAAAGATGATTAGAATGGCATTGATAAGACATCAATCAAGAAACGCAATGAAACTTACAAAGCCCATACTGCGGATCCAAATAAGCGAGCTTGGAATAGCCAATATCCTATTTAGTCCAAGACTCAGGTGTCAGGCACTGTAAGCAGTTAATTCATAGTAGGTGATAGCAGTCAACCATGATACCTGAGGAATGCAGAGACTTGCAATTGTCAATCCGGCAATCAGATCTCCTTTGAACTTGTTCAAGTTGTAGGTCCTGCCCCAATCAAAGACTGGAAACAAGAACTGCAAACCCATCTTGAGCTTTGTGGACCCAGATTGGTCCTTGTACTGCTTTAGTGGGTTGTCATGGAAGAACGTCTCCCTCAGTGTGTTGGCAAACTCTGTGGCGAGGTTCTTCTTCTGAGGATACCCGACCTTGTACACCGTTGGTGCTTGGGATGGATTATATGAGGGAGGCTGTGTAGAGATGCTGGTTTCATCTGCAGTCGCCTCATCTGGCTCATGATGAACCATCTTTGGATACTGAAAGAGCTTCTAATTAACCTGAAAATTAAGCAAATTAAGCTTACAA